CTAGAGGGGACTGGAAAAGAGTGGGTTGCCATGGGAAACAGAAACTGTTGTAGCTGTAGGTGTGATGCATTTAGAACTGTTAGCCTACCAAGTTTCAATGGTTTCTGCTGCAAATTGACCAAGAGAGCGCTATTCAGTGATATACTTGATGCAATATTTGGTTGAGTGTATGACGTCATCAGTCATCTCATTTGCATATTTTACTCATTTTTCAAACTTCAATATCTCCGGAACCAATGCAGATATTTGTAAACGGTGTCTTAAATCTTTCGTAGAATTCCACGTGATTAACCTAAAAAATCAAGGGGTAAAAATTGGATCACAGTAGCACTTTAAGAATACTGCATCCCTTTTCTATTCCCTTGGAAAGAAGTTAATAAACAATATTACAGAATCTCTTCATTCTGGCTGAGGAGAATAAATGAGAACTTTTCAACTACATTTTGGAACCAAAAGAATGTTAATCTCTAAATGACAGATTTCCCAACCCTTTATGATCATTGATAACACCTCAACTTGTGAAATCTCTATCACTTTATAATTACATGTATACCTGAAGCCTGAAAAAGGCACTCATTTTGTGAGTCATTACAGGGCGTCTTCCCACATACACAAGTCAGGAACTCTTGACAAGTAGTGATGAAGCTGGCGTAAAGACAGGTCTAACTTGTTGCTCTCTGTCAACTTCTGATGCGGAACCTTTTCTATGTTGATTTGGTCCAAGTTCACTGACACTAGCATGACTCTCACAACACTAACATTAACAATGTCACTCACAGTCTGTCTAAGTCTTTAGTTCCACTGCACCATGCTCCATCATCACTCACCATTGTCACTAGCTTTATTAGCTTGTAAAACAGCCTGGCAGCATCACTGTTTCTATTCCTTGTTCCCAGAATTTCTTTTATGGCATGGCTAGGTGTAGGGGCATGAGAGTTTTTGTTAAGATGGCATATTGAAAAGTCTGAAAAGAGTGATAACTTAAAATTAAACTCTATAAGAGAGAACTGTCAGAATTGCTAGTGTTCTCTGATTCCCAGTAGGGATTGCGGAAATGTCTTGATGTAAGATTATATAGAGAAAGCACGCTGAAAAATAATGAAAATGTATGAGTAACTTGAAAATGAGTTGCCAATATGACAGGGATTAAAAGATAATGAACTTGGTCTGCAAACAAAGCAAAAGAGAGGGTTTTGAAGAAATTAAAGGTGCATGCTTGACCTCATAGGATCAGGGCTGGGGGGTATTGGAACTTGGTGTTGTTGACATTTAACATTGTTGAAACGTAAAAATAAATTTGATTATAACTTAGAAAAAACACGACATGCCCAAACTACTGAATCGCCGTTATAACCTTCTTCTTGGATTTTTTAAGGGTTCACGGCCTGCCGATAACGAAGCGTTTCTGAGTTAAAGGATTTCTAAGGGAAAACATCTTGTTTAAGGTTCTTGACCAGTCTCAACATAGTCAGTATGGCATCAGTTTGAGTGGCCATAAGCAAAAACATTAATTTGTGTTGGTGTCGATCGGCAAGCAAGTTCCGCAAAGCGCGTTATGTGTGGGTCTATTCTTGCAGTAATACGATAAACAGGTCTCAAGTACTCTCGAGTGTTTCGTAATAGTCAATTTGAAAAAAAATGCGCTTCTGTTAGTTAAGTTCCCCCACGTCTTGGAAACTGTCATTGCGCTTTTCTCTTAGTGTAATGCCTACCTAAGAGAATAGGATATTTGAATTGAGTGCAACTTACCTAGAAGTCATTACTTCCACGAAGGAATGGCGCCGACATTTCGTGAANAAAATGAGTTGCCAATATGACAGGGATTAAAAGATAATGAACTTGGTCTGCAAACAGAGCAAATGAGAGGGTTTTGAAGAAATTAAAGGCGCATGCTTGATCTCATAGGATCAGGGGCTGGGGGGTATTGGAACTTGGTGTTGTTGACATTTAACATTGTTGAAACGTAAAAATAAATTTCATTATAACTTAGACGGAAAAAACACGACATGCCCAAACTACTGAATCGCCGTTATAACCTTCTTCTTGAATTTTTTAAGGGTTCACGGCCCGCCGATAACGAAGCGTTTCTCAGTTAAAGGATTTCTAAGCGAAAACATCTTGTTTAAGGTTCTTGACCAGTCTTAACATAGTCAGTATGGCATCAGTTTGAGTCATAAGCAAAAACATTAATTTGTGTTGGTGTCGATCGGCGAGCAAGTTCCGCAAAGCGCGTTATGTCTGTGGATTCATTCTTGCAGTAATACGATAAACAGGTCTCAAGTACTCTCAAGTGTTTCGTAATAGCCAATTTGAAAAAAATGCGCTTCTGTTAATTAAGTTTCCTCACGTGTAGAAAACTGTCATTGTGCTTTTCTCTTACTGTAATGCCTACCTAAGAGAATAGGATATTTGAATTGAGTGCAACTTACCTAGAAATCATCATTTCCACGAAGGAATGGCGCCGACATTTCGTGAAAAGACACGCCTTCCAAACACGGTGTTTTTGAATAAATAATTGTCCTGTTCTTGAAACAAACTGATATGACCGGGAAGAAGACAAAATCTCGTTTATCTTGGCCAAATAAAACGTTAAAAATATCCGGCTGATTGCGGAATATTGCCATTTTACTTACTGAGAGAACGATATACCGTATTCAAATTTGATTTTGCCGCTCAGCCCGCTTTTTTACCGGATGTAACGTCATTTTTCGTTGGATAAGCTACAATCATGGACAAAAGTCTTGGGACAAATTTGCACTTTTGGCGCTTTTGCGCACACGCCAGCCGCGAATACAACTTCACCAGCCTAACCTCGCCCCCCACCCCACATACAATGTTGAAAACTAGTACCTGTAATTTCATCTGATTTTCAACATTGTGTTGGGTGGTGAGGTAGCCTGCGAACGCAGACGTATTTCCGGCTGTCGCTTGTCTCCGCCGAAAATAACGTCTGCGAACCCGAGCCAGGAAACGATTTCTTTGACGTAATGACTTTTGTTTCTCCTTGGCCAATCAGATTCCATGATAAAACGAAACTCGAGTGCTCCTCGCAGCGAATACCTCGCGCAGTGGTTCTGGGGCTACTTGAGCTAAACTGTGATTGGCTTAAAATTCCTACGTCAGAGAAATCGTTTCTGGTTCGGGTTCGCAGACGTTATTTTTCGGCGGAGACGAGCGACAGCCGGAAATACGTTTGCGTTCGCAGGCTAGTGGTGAGGGGGAACAGCAACGCGGCAGCGTTTTCATTTAGTTCTAAAACACAGATAATTCGTCACATTTTACAAGTGTCCCAAGGACTTTTGTCCACGATACACAAAAAGTGCCAGGCGTCGCAGAGTGTTCTCTTACTTTTCAACTTGAAAATGAACGTCGAACGGTCAAAATGTCGTTGTCTTTTAACGTTAACTTTTATAGTGAAAGACGTTTCTAAAAAATTCTTGATTCGAATTTTTACAAACATTCATAATAAGCAACAATGATTCACAGTTACTCGTGAACTTTGGCTAGCCGTTGAATATCTATGTACACCTCCTTGGCCACGGGTCTGCTCCGGGCAGTTTTTGTGGCCATATTTAATAGACTCAGCCATGCTTCGAGAATAAGTGACATGTCTTCGAGAACGGTTGTTATTGTTGTTCTTTTTTAGTTTCTCTGCAGGATGTTCATCCGAAGCGTCCAAAGTCTATGCACCCGAGAGGCCATTTGGTATCGAAGTCATAAAAAGAATAAGAGCTTTAGATGTTGTAAAAATAAATAAAAATATACCGGAAAAAGCACACGAGCCGGATGTGACGTGTAACAGATCGCGTGGTTTCCGTCCACGCCTCGGTCGCGCCCACTCGCGCGTCACAGGATTTATATTTTTGCATAAAGACAAAGGATGTATTAGGCCTAATACAGGGACCGTACGCTATTATTTGAAAAGGGTAATCAAACTGACTATAACAGAACAGAAATCTGCAGTAAAGGATATTTCAAAACTGTCCCGTTTATCCAGGGAATCAGAGCGGATAATTTGCCGCGAAAAACGTTACCATAGAAACCTCGCACGGAGCAGTGTCCGTGTCGGCCTGGAGGTGGGAAGGTCGTTTGTAGTTTGTTTGTACTCGTCATTTGTTCGGCAATGGATATTAGTTTTATAGGCTGAGTCTTGGCAGCGATAATTGAGCCATTCTTGTCTGCTTTGGGCTTTCACTGCTACAATGGGCTGCGGGACTAGTACCCCTAAAGAAAACGAAGAAAATGAAGGTTCCAGGTTTGATTTCAGTCGACGAAACACGATAGTTGAAAAACCAAATGTTGTCGTCGAGATCGGGAAAGGTGTCAAGAAGATCGACCCGGAGCGACGAATTGTGTTCATATTCGGTAGGTGGAACTGTTCCTTCTGTCTCTGAACCATCCTTTGTTTTTCGCTCATTGTCCATTTTACCTTTCCGGAAAAATAATCCCAGCACAGCGGCCATATGCAAATGACAAAAATAATTTTGATATCGAACAGCGCGGGCTCTGTTTTCAATAACATTTGTTAAGGTACGATCGCGAAATGAGCCTATTTTGAGCATACCAATTAGTCTTCCTATGCGGCATTAACCAAAATTTTTTACTGGAGGGTAATTTTGACTCTGATGTCCAAAGTGGTCTTAAATCAAGCACAAATTTAAGCCGGCTTTTGTTTTATTTATGGATTCAACTTGAAGGAGCCTTGTTTATCTACCAGTGCGGTGGAGAGGAAAACGACTTGGGCTACCCAGAGCTTCATAATTATTTTGTTGAGAGTTGCAAACTTCTGCTTTCAATGCTGCCTTCTGTCATTGTTTGAACGATTCCCGTCGATTTGAACAAGAATTGGAAAAAGGACTAATAAATGCTCATTACACAAGAAATCGATTTCTCGCCTTCTGTTTATGTCAATAGATATTGGCGGTGTTGGATGCATATTCGTTCATCTGATTGAAGGTCTTTGTTATAAGCATAAAAGCCAAGCGTTTCAAAAGCGAATATAAAATCCCTGCAAGGCGATCTTATCGTTTAAAATGTCAAGATTACAGACCAGAATTGTACCATTCGTCTTGTATTTTTTGTCAGTCACGTTAAGTGAAATCAATTAAGTTTGCGTGGTGAGTCCTTGTGTCAGTTGTGTAAGCTCAGTATTTATCTAAACCGCTCTTTACTTTCTTCGCTGTTTACACAGTCGACTGGCTGCGGTTTACATAATTAATTGAATATTAGATTTTATTGTAATACCAAACAGAAGCATGAAAAATATAATATTTTTGCTTAATGCAGGTATCAGACAGATTACTGCTGAGTTTTTCAAGTTATAATTTTTTTTCTCATTACATCCCAGTTCTTGACTTTAGAATAGACATCAGTTAATAAGTGTCCTTAAAGACTTGCTCCTTGAAATTTGACTGCATACTAACACAATAATTATGACAGGGAGGTGACTGAGGGGACAGATGTCATTAGTCAATCATTAATGAGCAAGTCAAAAGCATAACAGTGATGCAAACGGCCATGCTTTGTAAAAATGGATTTATATTTTACCTTTGAATGTTGCAACTGTGTAGATTAAAGTTCTGTGTGCCTTTCAGGCTAAACACTTTCTCAGGCTAAATATGTACATGTATGTGATGACAGCGTTCAGTTCCAAAACAAAATTCCAAAAAATAGTCATAGCAGTTGATGTTCTCCAAAAACCCAGAACTTGTTGTTTTGCAGGTGAAGGAAAGAAATATAAGAATTGTTCTGCTCATTAGACCTCGGGTCACTGATGTTGTTAGCTAAAGCTCCCTGTTAGCAGCCGGCAAGTCTGTCATTTCAAAAAAAAAACTTTAAATGGAAGCAGAAAAATAACACATATTACTTGTAGAAGGTAGTATTGTTACATAGCTTTATAAGTCATCTAGTACATGTACAGGCGTTTTAATAAGTTCATAGGGCAATTTATTCAAATGACAAGACAGGGCTTAGAAAATATTGGATTGGCAATGAAGAAACCTGATTGGTCATTTAACTTAAATTGCCTTCTTAGCTTTCTTTTTTGAGGATATTTTGATTATTTCTCCCAGGCGATCAATTAGTTCATGAGAAATCACCAGGGGAAGGTGGTACTAAAGGTAGAAAATTAGACCCCTTGAAATATTGATTAATTGCCCTATCTGAGGGAAGAGGGTGTTTGCACCCCTGGGGGAACATGGATATGCAATTATTATTCCATGAGTGCGCGTTGGATATGAGTTGGATATAGTCATCTCATATCCAACAAGGGCTAGTGGAATAATTATTGTTTTATTAAAAATGCCCCCAAAATATAGAAAAATAAAGTAAAATGAAAATCTAAACGAAACCAAAAAATTATGCGTACACGTACCATATTTATAGAGAATGGTATAATGGCTCATACTTCATGATGGCTGAGTCAATAAGAGCTCTTGAATTGCATCATCCAATGATCCAGTTTTTAATTAATTTCTGTTGTTCAGGGCACAAGGGAACATTTGGGAGTTAACTAAATCTGTTTAGTTACTGGTACATGTACATGTAATTCAATTTTCTGTAAATCTAGCAAATCTTTCCTGCTCTGATATGTGACTTTCATATGTAGGAGGTCCTGGATCAGCGAAAGGTTGCATCGTTAATGATCTCAAGGCTATGTTTGGTTTTGCCTTCATATCGGCAGAAGATTTAATTCTGCAGAAACTTCCGACAAAAGCTGCAGGATATGGGGCTGAACCTGTTTCAGGAACACATGGCCTGGCTGAACTATTGAAGAATAACCCAGAGTATCTCACCTTGGACTGGGTCATGGAAATTCTTCTGGAGGAGATTGAAAACTATCCCAATCAGCCAATATTGGTAGATCTTATTCCAAATCTCAAGTTCATGATGAGGGTGGATGGTTTCATCAAGAAATGTGATAAAGAAATGGAAGAGTTTGAAAGGAAGGTAAATATGAAACTTCCCACCACTCAATGAATTTGTAGAATAATTTCTCAAACTGATTAATAATTCATCAAGTTTAAACAAAGGAAATCATGACCATAGCAGTGTTTGGATGTCTGATCTTAATTAGCATAGATCTTTATGATTTTATTTCTCCCTTTTCTAGCTGCATGTAGTATGATATCTTAATTTATTAAGCGTTAATTTGTTGTAAAACTTCACCTAAACATTCAACAAATAATCTTGAAGAAGATGTTTTCTAATTCTTGTAGAAAACTACTGAGAGAATTAGAAAAAAACATCACTAATTTGTTGCAATTATCAAATTAATGCACATACACATTGCTTGTGTGTTCACTATGTCTTCAGCTTGCTTCAGTTCAGTCTGCTTTTCTATGGAGTCAATGAAATCAGTGACAGTGATGCTTTAACAGTACCTGATATTTTGATGTTGTTTTTCCGTTCAGTTCCCTTGTGCGTTTGCATTAAACTTGACGCTATCCAAAGAGACTCTCCTGAGAAACATTAAGAACAGCCACTCCCCTGCTTGTGCCAAGCCGCCAAGCCAAGACCCAAGGGATGCCTCCTCTGACCAGGGAGATGAAATGGATACAAGTAGAACTAAGCGTCGCTTTGCACTGTATGAGAAGTCAGTGAAGGATTTCTTGTACTACTTCAGTCTTGAGGACAGGATAGTCAGAGTGGACACCTCTGCAGCGCATGTGCAACATGTGTGGGAGGCCATGATGGATTTCTTTGCTGCTGACATGGATTTCAGTGCTAATAGAGTGATTAACACAGTTGTACTGTTTTCATTTGGTAAGTTTCAAACCCAGAAATGTTAATTATTTCTTCTGATTGCCGGTATTACAAAACTTTGCTGACATACACCTGTACAGGTCTACTGTACATGCAGTTAATTAAAGGAGCTACATACATGTACCTCACGATTTGCACTTCTTAGAAAGTTAGCCTAAAGTTTTTGAGTGTGTTGTTTGCAATCTGTGATAATCTTCTCCATCCTTAACCATCTTAGCTGCTTTCTTTTCTTGTCATGAATGACATTATACTGACCCTAGAAAGTAGTAAAGGGTCTTTATGGAGCTGGTTAATTTAAGAGAAGATGCACCATGAAGAAAGTGTGGTAGGATAAAAACAATTTTCTTAAGAATAAACCTATATTCTTTGATATAGTTGTACATGTACTCATGTAGTTTCTTTCCTTTGCTTTGACAGACCAGAAAACTTTTCAGTCCATAGATACTAACAGATACCCCATGAAGGAAGTTTTACTTCATGAACTCATTAAGCAGCCTCAGGCCCCCGCTGTAAGTATTCACTGCGGGACTTCTACGTCATACTATTATGAGTTAGATTAAGTAATTAAGATACATGCGTGCAGGATTTGGAAGTTGTTTGGAAGATGAAAACCTTCCATGTGACCTTGTTATAAGATGAACAGCATGATGTCTAGAGGTTGAAATCTAGTCATGTGCAGAGTATGTTTAGTCTGCACTGCTATGTAGATGTTCTTTGGCTTTGTTAGTGGATGACTACATGGGCAATGTAAATCTCAGAGCTCACTAAAGTGCTTGTATTTAATGTTCATTGAATGATGCAAATTTTTCTTGAGAGTGTAAGGTAAGGTACACGTGAAGTCTGCATCGGGCCAGTAGCCCATATAGCTGGAGTTAATCGCAGTTTCTGTCATATTAAGCGACTAGGAATATTGCTACTCCTCCGTGGCTGGGGTGCAAGTCCATTACAGGGTAACTGACCCCCCAGCATTTAATTTATGGGCACGCATATACAAATATACACCTGGGTGGAGAGAGGCACTGCACAAGAGTAGTATCTTGCCCAAGAACACAACAAAATGACCCCAGCCAGGGCTGCAAACTAAGACCAATCGATTTGCAATCCAGCGCCCTAACCATTAGGCAACTTCTGCCCCTTGAAAGTGTACTCTTCTGTAACAAGGAACTAAGCTACAGGATGCCTTCAGTGCTTGACATCCCAAATTTGCATTTTGAGACTGCTAGCATATGCTGTCAGTGCTTGCAAGGCACAAGGGCACTATTCAAGGCCTGAAAAAAAAAAGGTTTTACTGCTCTCACAGTAATAATTGTTACAATAATTGTGTTGTTGTTGTGCAGGAGGATGTTCTCTCCATACTTGCTAAACATTTGGATGAGAGTGCCTTACAGACACGTTCATTCCTAGTGGATGTATCAGGAACATCAATTGACGAGGAACACATCTCCGAACAGGTACAAATATCTAATAGTTCTTTAACATATGTTTTCTCCTTACTTTCATCATTTATTTTCTATTGTTTCTCTGAGAGAATTTGGTGCTCAATCAGTACATTTTTTCTGAGGTGAACATATCCTTAAGCTGCTGAGGATTAAAGGTTTGAAGTCCTTAATTAACTGAAAACAACTTTGCTTAAAATTCTCAGCAGTGAAATGCATGCAATATGAAACACTTGTTTAGTTGTTTGAAATTTGTCCCTTGCCATTTCTCCTAGTTCCTGCTATCAAAATTTCGTGAAGGGAGAGGGGGGAGTGTAAATGCGGAGTAGCGAAATCCCAATCAAGTCCCACGAGGGGGATTCTCATTTAAAAAGGTCGGATATGCTCGTCGGAAAATATGAATTAAACGCCTAAAAGATACCAAACTGGGCGTGGCTCGAGCTTTATTTCAATTTGACCCCTAAAAGTTTCTACTTAAAACTGAATAGGCTCGATATACTAGCGGATGTTCAGGAAAGGAGCCCACGCTAGTGGACTGGACTAGACAGACCGGCAGAAATCGAGCCTAGAAAAGGAAGTAAGAGCGGCGATTTTTATCATTATATCTTCGAGTTCTCCTTAAGATACTCTGACAGCTGAAAATAGTCAGTGGTGTTTCGTCATGGACACCCTAAATGAGAATAGAATCCTAGACTTCTACCCCTAAGCGAGACGACGGGCATCCCCGACCATTTCCTATCGGAATTTTCCCCGCCCCCACCCCCAAACCGAGAATTAAGCTTTAAAAGATCTTCAATCCTGAAACTGTTTTATTTCCGTTTCAGTTCACTAAGCCACAGATTCTCTTCGTGGATGTCAACATTGGTCAGTTGGATTACTTCATGCACGGACTCAAGCGAAAAACAGACAGAAAAAAATCCATTTTCAGGAAAAAAGCGCAAATATACAAAGCAGTCAGTTCAACGGAGAACGAAACACTTTTGTTCCCAGAACATATCGACACCGAAATCTGCAGAAGAATCGCTATCTGCTTAGCAGAGCAAAGAACTAGCTAAAAAAATATCTTTTGTAAGAAAGGACGCGAAGATCGGCTTTTTTTACCCTCGTCGCGGAAGTTCGTTTTATCACTTGAATTACCTTGTCAGTATTGTAAATTTTGTCCATAACGAAGAGTTGCCTTGCGGTGATGAAATCACTTTTCTCTGTTGACATTCTCAAATCGTATTTACCTGGCGTCAAAGGTTGTTACATACTTAGAATGTGACTTTAAGACCACGCCTACAGAATTTATTTTTCAAAGAAAACAGATTATTTATTGAAAATTATTGTTCAACGTTTATATTTAACGTTTTTGGTCACCACGCCGTGGTGTTCAATCGCGTTCATGACTNTAAGAAAGGACGCGAAGATCGGCTTTTTTTACCCTCGTCGCGGAAGTTCGTTTTATCACTTGAATTACCTTGTCAGTATTTACCTTGTCAGTCCATAACGAAGAGTTGCCTTGCGGTGATAAAATCACTTTTCTCTGTTGACATTCTCAAATCGTATTTACCTGGCGTCAAAGGTTGTTACATACGCCTACGGAATTTATTTTTCAAAGAAAACAGATTATTTATTGAAAATTATTGTTCAACGTTCATATTTAACGTTTTTGGTCACCACTCCCTGGTGTTCAATCGCATTCATGGCTGGTAGCTGAAAAAAATAGAACAGTTTTTGTTGCGTCAGGAGGAGAATTCGTAAGTTTTATTGACAATGTACGACGAGTTACGTGTATATAGTTATGAATATTTTTCCTGGTCGCTTTTTCCAAGTTGAATTAATAAAAAAAAAAAAACATTATTGGAGTATTGTAATAAACTGAGCAGAACTGCGTAATGTAGTTATTTTTTTTCTTTTCATGTAAGGTTTTTGCCAAGTTATTTGTTTACTGTTGCAAAGGTGGAGGATCTCGTAGTGGTTAATTTACATCACTTCATGACGAGATTTTCAAAATGCACTATATTCCGCGCTATCACTCATATTTCAGCCCGTCTTAAGCGACGCCTACTCTAATAGCCTTCCGTTATGATTCAACTTAACCTGCGTAGCCACACAGGTCTCCCAAGCTGGTTGGGAGCCGTGAACATTTTAATGTATTAATTTCAAAGGAAGGTGAAGAATGATCATCGCAGTGCAAATATGAATTATTTCATATATACTTCACATCATATTACTTTCAGTTGCATAACACACTGATAATGGTACTAAATGTAAGAGTTCGTATGGGAATGTTACGATCGCTTATAACAGTTCGAAATATGGAAAAGAAATTCAATAAGAACGACTTGCATCGACTCCTGTGTGGCAATTGTGTTTCCGTGAGGTTTTGGGACCGCCCAGACCGCTGTGTTACACAACTGAAAGTTATATTAAAATGTTACGGCTTCCACGGAGCTTGGGGAACCTGTGGTAGCATTCTGGCCGCGCGCAAATTGGAGCGAGAGCAAAACAATCGACGACCACCGCCCCCTTTATGGTCGATTCTTTTGTTTTCTCCCATTTTATGAGTAAAAAGTCTTCTAGGATCGGGAACACTTGCTACGTAGGCTAGATTCAATTTGTCGCCTTACTAGCTCGAAGTTATGGAGAGCACTTACTGGCTTATTACGGCAGAGGGCGCTTATCTATTTTTATCAAAAATAGACACACCATGTACTTCTGTGGCCGAGAGAAATATGACTGTTTCTTCCATATAGATTATTTAAAAGAGAATTTATTTCTGTATGATACAAAACATTACCAAGATCAAATTCTACTCAATCCTAGCTTTCAGTTTCAACTTCGATTAAAAAAAAAGCCACCAATTTGACATTATTGTCAGGAGTGGGATTCGAACCCACGCCTCCAATTGGAGACCAGAACACTCACCCAGTTGACTACTGGGAAGGGAATGACCCTTGAGTCTGGCGCCTTAGACCGCTCGGCCATCCTGACTTGAGACAAGAGAAACTGACGAATACGTGCTCGCATTCCTGATCAAATTTGAACAATTCTGGAATTTGATTTTTGACATAGAACTTTCAAACATATCCACAAAAAGCATAAGATAAGTGGTTCGCTTGTCCGGGGAAGGTACTTCCGTGAAGTTTAAGCCGGCTGTCCAAGCGGGCAATGCTTGGTGATCAAATCTGTATCAAGCTGATAAATGGGCTCCTGGCTGATACAATTTAGGTACCCCGCCCTATCTAAGCATCATACCGTGAACACAAGGCCGACACGGGCAAAAATGATACTTTATTTGAGAATCTAAAAAACCATGCTCTAGCTTTCAGTCTCAACTTCAATTAAAAAAAGCCACCAGTTTGACATTATTGTCAGGAGTGGGATTCGAACCCACGCCTCCTATTGGAGACCAGAACACTCATCCAATTGACTACTGGGAAGGGAATGACCCTTGAGTCTGGCGCCTTAGACCGCTCGGCCATCCTGACTTGAGACAAGAGAAACTGACGAATACGTGCTTGCATTCCTGGTCAAATTTGAACAATTCTGGAATTTGATTTTTGGCATAGAACTTTCAAACATATCCACAGAAAGCATAAGATAAGTGGTTAGCTTGTCCGACGAAGGTACTTCCGTAAAGTTTAAGCCGCCTGTCCAAACGGGCAATGCTTGGCGATCAAATCTGTATCAAGCTGATACATGGGCTCCTGGCTGATACAATTTAGGTACCTCGCCCTATCTAAACATCATACCGGGAACAAAAGGCCAACACGGGCAAAAATGATACCTTATTTGAGAATCTAAAAAATCATGCCCTATCCCACTGTACCGTACATATTTGCCTTTTATAGTTCGCCACTAAACTTTCTCCGATTGTAATTGGTTTAAATTGATCACGTGACGCGATAGTGTTCATCCGCGGAGAGACTATCAGCCCATAGTATCCGTGCGAGGAAGATAGTACTCGTCCGTAAAAATTTTTTTGTAAACAAGCGGGCCTATGGACAATAAACAATTGAAATTGCATTAAGTGAGTTTTTGTGTGTTTTCTTTTCCAAATTTTAGATTTGGCTTTCACAGCTTTCATCTAAAAGGGTTGACCGAATAATTCAATATGAGTTTTGAACTGGCAGGCGGAAGCAAATTTAATGGTGAACAATTAAGACAATAGTGTTTTTATGTCTGGGAACTATCGGTCTGATAGCTGCCCCTTGGAAATTTGATGTTCTTAGAATCTGTTTTAAGAACATCAAAATTTTCCCGGGGCAACTATACTGAGTTCATATTTGGGAGCCCTCTGCCCAGGTTCTCTATCCGTACGGAGGGCTGTCATCTTGAAGACATCACAGGTGGGCTTTACGTAAGTCTGCGGTGATTGGCTAATCAAAGACATGGCGCCATATGGAGAAAAATGTGTTATGTTTCTTGCATGCGACCCGGAGTGAAGCAGAGTGAAGCTCGACACAAAAGATGCCTTATTAACTTTTAACCCCTGGTACCACCGTTAACTCTACCAAGGGTATTCCGTGCGAAAGAATCTCCGCGAACAGAAAAGAAAAGCAAACAAATAAACAAACAAACGCACGCAAAAGAAAGAAAGACAGAGTTGGAAAAAATGAAGTCGGCAGGTCTGTACAGCTGACTGTAAAGGACAATGCTTTATAGCATAATATGCTAATTCGAGCCGGCCACGCTGTTCGAGCCTCCGTCGTTTTCGCTCTTGTTCTACTCTACACTTGCCAACCTGGATGCTGGGACTATAGGAGATCATGTGTAAGGGACTGGTCTTCTCCCGTATGCTGGTCTGAAGTGGATACAACCTTTCCTACCGTCAGAAGCCCTGCATTTTTGTTCCATCTACGGCAATATCGAACTAGTAGAGCTAGTTTGATGGACAATGGGGCTAATGAGCCATTGTTATTTGTTGTTGTGTCGGAGAGCTGCTTTGTCATCCGTGATAACCGGGAATGTTGTGCATCTCGTATCAAGATCAAGCGAAGCAAATGCCGGTGTGCATATTACTCCAATTCGACCGCGACATTCCAATGCCTACTCCAAGGCGACCTGGTATTTAAACTAAATCCCGGTCCCACGGGCGATCAATCAACCATTCACGCTCATTGTTCCGTTGCACGTCGTCGCGTCCCATTGTCCACCAAAACAAGGAACCACTCGAATCTTAATACATTTAAGAGAGCGCCAACAACAAAGCATTTCAACACGCCAATTCTTGAACAACAGGACAACAGGGCATTCCAGTTGTGCAGTTTGAATGCAAGATCATTAAGAAATAAATCAACGGCTTTTGTGGACTTGGTATGTGATTTGAGGGCTGAGTTGTTTACGATATGCGAGTCCTGGCTCCATGATCTTGACTCTGCGATTTTAACTGAGCTCACTCTTCCCGGTTATTCGAAGCTCTACCACTGTCCTCGTGCTGATCGTAGGGGTGGTGGGGCTGCGCTGTTATATCGGGATGGTCTGGATGTAAACAAAGTGTTTTCAGCCGAGCGATCTTCGTTTGAAGTGTCGGAATGGCTTGTGGTGTT